GCTCCCAGCGAGAGGCTGGAGAGCGCGACCCGCCTGCGCTCTACAGGGCGGGAGAGCCCCCGAGGCCTCCCCAGCACACCCGCGGCTTTGTCCGCGGAGGAGACGCCGCGGAGCCTCAAGCCTGAAGTCCAGGGGCTCCGCAGATGCACTTCGAGGGCCTGTCAGTGCCTGTTTAGTCTTGCAATATGGAAAGCAAAATGTCATATATGCGTTTTATCTTAGGAGAGCATTCGCGGCTTCTATATAGTCTCAGAAGCTTAAGTTCATTGTCTTTTAGAATGAAACCCCCAGGATCTTCCCCACACCAAGCTCCCAGGAAGGGCTGAGCGTCTGTCCTCACCAGCCATCTCATCTACTCCCTGGAGGGGTGCGTGCGGGAAAGGGGATGATGTTCTTATTCTGATCAGACTCCAGCTTGGTCCTTCCCAGTGTGGGGAGGGGCTGTAGGAAGGAGAGCAGTGACCTGGAGTAATCCCAGGGGGAAATCTGAAATAATTCTTAGAAGGAGGTCGTGGGAAAGAGTTTTGGGACAGTTCTTTTTTTTTCGTTAGAAAAGGACTTGGTAGGGCAGAGGGGGTTATTTGGACTTCCAGGCTGGGTGTTCTCCCAGGACCCTGCTGGGGACCCAGACTGTCCCTCTCCCAGGCGGCCACGGTGGGTTCATATTTGGCCATGGTTCCTGTACTGGCCCCTAGAGGCCAGAGCAGTAAGCCCCTACTGTGTATCCTCTGCCCAGGTGTTCTAGTAGTGGCGAGAGTCATGACATCATGCCCATTTGCCCGCCAGGGGACCAAAACTGAAAGGATCAAGGAGGTGTTTGGGTGGGTGATCCCAAGAGGATTTGGCATGAGCCAACTTCCCTTGCAGATGAAGGTCCATCGAACAGTGACACTCCAACCTCTGCTCCATCCCTCTCAAGACGTTGAGTCCCAGAGGAGATGTCCAGGGTCTCTTGGGCTCAGTTGCTCTGTAGGTGATGATTAGTATTTACCGAATGATGATAATGGCGGGCCTGCACAGTATTTGTAATAAAATGAACAGTTATCCTCTGAAATGAAGGACAAATCATAATGACAAGTTTTTGAGTCCTCTCTGCCACTATCGCAGAATTCCAGAACCTTAGAATTAGGAGGCACAACCTCCAATGAAGTCCTTATCCCCACCATAGCCTCTGTTAATTGCTTGTCAGTTCTGTTCTTGTCTGACATCTGTATGGATGGGGGCCTTCTTGTCATTCCCTGGGGATCTGCTTCTAAGGTGGGTCAGCTCCGGTGGTAGGAAGAATCTTGTGCTAAACTGAAACATTCCCTATAACTGCTCCCCAGAGCCCCACAGATCTGCTCTGCGCATGTTAATTCTTCACGTACAAAGGCTTTGCCTACTGTTTTTGTTTTTCCAACTGAACATCTGAAATTATTTCATAATTTCCCTAGCTGGTGCTCTCCGCTGTATTGCCCTGCTAGCCCAGCTCCTCTGCCACAATGACAATGACTCTGCCACAGTGAAGCAGCCCACAGTATATGGATTGCTAGGAGCAGTCTGTAGCTTGATCTGGGGTGGTGGTTACTATCAGGACTCAAAGAATAATACCCTCCCCCAATTTTGCATTTTTTTGGCATGCTAAGCAATTTAACCTAAAGAAAATTTAAAAACCTGAAAAGAAGGCTCAGAATCCATATCACTATAGTTGGATGTGTGTGTGTGTGTGTGTGTGTGTTGTGTGTGTGTGTGTGGATGTGTGTATGCTGGATATTGAACCCAGGGCTTCATATGTTAAGCATATGCTCTACCACTGAGCTATATCACCAGCTCCTCCTGCAACCTGTCTTGTTTCTCTTCCCTCCAGTGCACAGAGAGGGGCTGTGGAATTCCCTTATCAGCATTAAGACCATACTGCAGAAGGGAACCCAGTTACTTTCTATCTTCACCCTGAAATCCTGTCATTTGGCTCAGAAAAGAAAACTGAGAAATGTAACATACCTGGATGGACTTTTGTGACAAGCTAATGTCTGTTCTTTGGGTTCTTTCAGATTCCAAGAGAGTGTCTCCACTCATTCCCCCCAAAATCCTTTAAAAGTCCTCAGAATTCACCTACATTGCTTGTATTTCCCATTCATTCTAAGAAAAAAGGGGGTAAGTTCCTGAATAATATTAAGCATGTGGCATGCTATGGTTTCCCACTTATGCAGGTGAGTAAATTTGTACACTTTTTCTCCCATTTAAAAAAATTTTTAAAAACATTTTTTTGGTTGTCAATGGACTTTTATTTTATTTATTTATATGTGGTGCTGAGAATTGAACCCAGGGCCTCACACATGCTATCAAGCGCTCAGTCATTGAGCCGCAACCCCAAGCACCTTTTCTCCCATTGACAAAGGTCAATTTATTCCCGCAAACTTCCAGGGGACAGAGGGAAGACTCTCTTCATCCCTACATTACCGAAGTGTCAATGTATATGAAAATTCACTAGACTGCACACTTAAGATTTTTGCACTCAGTTGTTTGTAAGTTATGCTGCAATAAAATAGTAAGAAACAAAAATAACAAGCAAAAATGAAGTGAGGCACTCCACTGTGAATACAAGACTCAGTCCCTTTAGAGGCAAAAGACCTGTTTGGTGCTGGCACTGAAGGAGACCTTGGGATGAGACAAGCAGGTAAGGAATCCATGTAGCAATGGGGTTCTGTATGAGGGATGGTTTGAAAGCCAGGAGAGGAAGTGTCTAATTCTACCTAGAAAGTTCCATGGAGAGGTGACTTGGGACTTGGGTCAGGAAAGACTTTGCTTATTCACTCTCTTTCTTTATCTTTTCTTTTTTCCAGTATCACACAGTATTGACCTCCTGTTGATCAATTTAAACTCAGAAACCATGGAAGCAAAAAAACTGGATTTGGGGTCTGAGAACTGCAGTTCTAGAAAGCACAGAATCAGATGGCTCTGAATGAGTGCTCCAAAGAAACTCAGATTAGCCAGGACTTTAAAAGGGAAGGAGAAACTGAGGACCAAGGTAATTCTACAAGGTACATGGAAAGAAAGGTGTTGACATAGCAATGCTTTCCTTTTAGACTGTACATCATTGGGCCATTCATGACAGATTGCTGGGCTCTCTAGGTGTAAAGTTCATTTGTCATTTGTAAGGCCCGTTACAGCTGCAGCCTCCAATAAAAGGTGTTAATGGCTTCACAGCCTTGGCCCTGTTCAAAGGTTCTCATTCCTGTGTCATTTTCATGGCCAGTTT